ACACACACACACACACACACACACACACCCTGTCTCCAAAAGCCAAATATTAAAAATAAAAAAAGAGTTTAAAATAAAGTAATGAAAAGATAAAAATACACAAAAAATCTAAATGCTGTATGTTATTGTGTTGTCTTTAAATTGTTTGACAGCTGAGGAAGGAACAACAGCTGCTAAAAGACATTTGATTACAAATGCTGCTAGATTAACCCAACATATATACATTGAAAATGCTTTGACTTCAAAATTTAAGTCAAAAGATATGTTACTTTGGAAAAGAGGCTTTACTTTTATTTCCACAAGAAATAAGAGGCAGTGTTGACAGAGGTTTCTGTTCTGCACAGTTCCCACAATTGTTAAGTCCCAAAGAAAACACACAGAGGTCTACATTAGTTATAAAATGATTGGCCCATTAGCTCAGGCTTCTTATTAACTCTTATAACTTATATTAGCCCATTATTCTTGTCTATGTTAGCCATGTGGCTTGGTACTTTTTTCAGAGAGGCAGTCACATCTTTCTTGCTCTGTGTCTGGATCACGACTGTAGACTGCAGAATCCTCTTCCCAGAATTCTCCTGTCCTCATTGCACCGCCTCTACTTCCTGCCTGGCTACTGACCAATCAGCATTTTATTAAACAAATACAAGAAACAAATGTTTACAGGGTAAAACCATTGTTTCACAGCAAGGCTGTGGATTTATTGGGTTAAGAATAATTAGGTTTGATCAAGAAAGACTCCCTGAAGAATCTCCAATAGGAGCCAATGGTCCAGATGACCCAACATTTCGGGGGACCTCTCTGTTGGAGTTGCCTCTGAGTTCTATATCCAGAATAGCCTAAAGACTGCTGGCTAAGATGATCAAGTCTCACAGAATACTCCAGTCAAAGCTTGACCATAATCCTAAACTTTCTTTACAGCCCCATAAGATTATCAGCACCCCTAATCAGCAAAAAGTAGCCATAAAACTATGCCCACATTCCCAAAAAATAGATTATGGACATTTGTCTTTGTTTAGAGTGTTGATACAAGTTGTCATAGACAATGGGGAAAAAAAGCTAAATAAAGGAGATTAGATTCAGAGTTTTGTTTTAAAAAGAAAAAAAGGGGGAGAATTACTGTGGGACAATAGCCTTGTACCCTGAAAAGATTTGTCACTTGTATTGGTTTAATAAAATGCTGATTGGTCAGGACGTATAGGCAGGACAACCAGAATAGGAGAATTCTGTGAAGAGGAAAAGCTCAGTCTGCAGTCATCACCCAGACACAGATGAAGCAAGACAAGAATGTCTCACGGATAAAAGGTACCAAGTCATATGGCTAACACAGACAAGAATTGTGGATTAATTCAAAATATAAGAATTAGTTAATAAGAAGCCTGAGCTAATAGGCCAACAAGTTTATAATTAATGTAGGCTTCTGTATATTCCTTTGGGACTAAACAGCTGTGGGACTGGGTGGAACAAAAATCTCTGTCAACAGTTCCCACCCGCTGTGGACCAAATGCTCAAGCACACATTTTGGGCAACATTCACAACCAACCTGTGACATAAAGGCGAAAGCTTTAGGACCTTGTCACACATTGAAGATCTCACTGCTTAACACTGTTATAATGACATTTAAATTTCAACATGGGGGGGCTGGAGAGATGGCTCAGTGGTTAAGAGCATTGCCTGCTCTTCCAAAGGTCCTGAGTTCAATTCTCAGCAACCGCATGGTGGCTCACAACCATCTGAAATGAGATCTGATGCCCTCATCTGGCCTGCAGGCAGACACACAGACAGAATATTGTATACATAATAAATAAATAAAATATTTAAAAAATAAAATAAATTTCAACATGGGTTGTAGAGATGACATCCAAACTGATGCCTTCTGCCCTACTCTCTCAAAACACACACACACAAACACACACGAATAGACACATAGACACACACACATGCATACACAGACACACATAAAACCGTCATGTCTTTTCACACATAAAATGCATTCATTCCATATCAATAAGCCCCAAGTTTCTTTTTTTTGACAGTCCTTCACACAACCATTTACTTTGTAGACTTTGTTATTCATCATTCACACGAGAAAATACCA